GATTTGCTGCTTTTTTTTCCCTTTTTTTTTGGGGGGTTACCATGCTTTCTGTTTACTTTACATTAAAAAATAATCCTTTACGTTCACTTTCTCTTACAACGGTATCTAGAATCGATTGAAGGTCCTTTCCTGGGTCTGCTATTAAAACTGTGTCATCTGCATGTCTGATGTTATTAATATTATTTCCTCCATTCTTTTTGAGACCTGGACATTCTTCTGTTTCTAAGGGTTTTCAACATAATGATCAGTAATATTAATGACAGATACAATGGAATCCTGATAAAGTCAACTTGCTTATAAAGTCAACTCTTGCTTACAGTCAACACCTCACTGTGGTCCCGTTGTTGTTTTTTTCCCTCTTTTGTTTAAGTCGTAATTGTGTTTCTGATACAGTCTACCGCGTGAGTGTTAACCTTGCGTAAAGTCGACAATTTAGGGCTAGGCCTGAATCCAAAGATGAATTCATTTAAGAAAAGATTTTTAGGGGCTGAGCTAGTGGTGTACAGTGTACACACCTACGGTCCAATTACTTTGTTCTCTCATTATCTCTTGTTTTGGTGACAACTTCAGAATTATACTCAACTGATATTGAGTTAACATCTTGTTACGGGGTACTTTGTAATTTTGTAGCTGTAGTCTTCAATTTTCAATGGCCAGTAGATCTAATACAATTACAATAGATAACGTCAACATTGCTCAGAGTCAACACTTTTTTTTTCGGTCCCGATGTGTTGACTTTACCAGAATTCCACTGCCATCTCTTTTATTTGTGTAATTAAGACGCTTTTCACATTGACATGAGTCTCGATTTTTTCTTATTAGTAAGAAAGAGTGTATGCAATATTTTACTAGAATGATTTACTCTGGGGGGTTTTGTGTGTGTGAATGTAGAACTGCATATAATTGTGTGCATGTACACATGAGTGCATGCATGTTTTTCATGAATATTATGTAAGCGCTTAGAACAATGATTGTAACACGGATTTGGGCGATATAAATGTCATAATATTAGTATTATAAGCAAACAATGTAATATTATGGGATTTGAGGGGGGG